GCGAATCTCATTATCCTTTCGCAAATGTGGTTCTATGCTAGATATTGATAAAATGGTTGATATTATATTCCGAACTGCAGTGAATAAATGTGATAATCACTTAGATTGTTCTTCTTTCTCTGCTACGATCACAATTCAATATTACACATTGATTACCCAAAATCCCTTTCGGTCTAGTGGCTTATATCTAAAAAAAACCTGTTTTGTATCTCTTATTACTCTATGGACTATTTGGAATGATWAATGTCAAAGTGTTTTTAAAAGTTCCTGGCATGTACTATGCCATATARCCGCATGGAATGATTTATATTAACGTTAAATGACGCAGGATATGACGCGCAAATCACAAAGTATATTGTATTTGAATAAATATGTGAATTTGTTTAACAAAAAATTGTATATAAACTAGAAAAATAAATCCTTTGGTCTTTGATTRTTTAAGGTGTAATGTTTACTTACCTTGTTCATAGTTTGTAWACATGGCAGTCTTCACACATTGTGAACGACAAGGCTGCCTTTCAAAATCCACAGCACATGACGCTGTACTTATCCACCATAGAAATAGGAAATAGTACATCCTAATAATGAAATAAAAACAGGTATGTGCCATTTAATTAAAGGATTACAGTGAAATCTATTGTGATCAAGCTATACCTTCCGATTATGTGACTTAACGAAAGACCAAKAGATCGACTTAACTAGTCAATGATACACTTTGAGTGGCCTCTTTCTTTTTCCACATGCAATACAAAATGAATGCAGAAAACTATCGAGAAAGCTATTCTAGATAAATACTGAATCTAAGGGYCATTTGAGTATTTCCGGAACTCTTAATTGAGCACACTTTCAAATATTAAACACTGGAAAAAAATGATATTTTTCGTTAGGATTAATAATTTATGATTCCTTGATAATAAGACACTTAACAATAGATTGAACTGCACATGAAACTTCGGGTGATCGGTATCAATATTGCTAGATATCTATACTCTGTGTTTTCAATAAGAATGGTAATTAGTTCGTCACACACCCCTGWTGTGCACCATTCATTAGTTAAGGTCATGTTATCCAATATCTATATATTCACTTTGCATTCGATGCACGATATCTTGAAATATGACTTTTTCTCTATATTTCACTTGCTTATCGAAAATAAAAAGAATTCTTTGCAATTTGTTAGTTTTTGAATTGAGTCGTTTAATTCGAGGCTAAACGCAACGTTTGTCGGACGACACAAGCAAGAGCCACAAGCAGGTGTACTCTACCTACCTGACAGAAGTCCCGCTTCACCTTGGCCACCACACTTATAAATCCAAGAAATGAAAGACAAGATGATGAGATGATACTAAAACACTCCCCTTTCCTTCTGACCTTTCTTAAGAAGGCCTTTTCTTTAGTGTAAACTTAGATTTCTTTCAAGAGTAGCGCTAATCTTTCTTTGATGAAATATAGAGAACCATTCGACAAACCTGACGTTTCTTGTTTGGACAGCACTATATAGTTATTGCATTTATTATCTGTTCTGTGGSGGTTTTGTCCACAAGGGTACAGGTGTGGGGAATTTGTATACTAATTATATGACTGGGAAAAGGTTGGGGAAAAACAGATCTGGTGTCCCTTTTTAGAAGAGTATGCAGAGCACTTTTGCTTTTAGGGATACTTTAAGGGAAAAAGATAGGAAGAGATATACTAATGCTTAAAATATAGTACCATAGGGATTGGGAGGGAGGTGAGGTGGAGAGTCTCTCATTGCATCATTTTCGAGAATAGACTGTTTATTCTAATATTATRCCCATTATTCAATTCTTGGGAAAATGTCAATATGCTGTCCTTAGCCCTAAGGAACAAAGTGATATGACTGTCAAGCCGACTACCATCAAAGTAATAAAGTACTCTGCAATATACAATAGTGTACGTCATTGAATAGTTCACCCACAAAATCCTACAACAAAGGGACCTTAAGATAGAGTGGGATTAAGACTTAAATATTGCGCTAAACATTTCCTTTTCATTTGGTCTTTTAGCTTGGTTATACAATGTTCCGGAAGGAACTTAATCGCCAGTGTCTGTTACTGTATGACATGTAGGTATCTCGACAAGAAGAAACAAAATATCGACTGAGAATCCATGTCTCGCAGATGAAACTGAACTTATCAAATTCAAATAAAAAGTATGTCGGTTTATAGGTCAGCCAAAAGAGCTGAGAAATTCTACAGTTTTACATTCAGCCCAGTGAAAATATGTGCACCGAGATACTTTACAGTGATGTCAGAAAATAAACACAGCCGTTCTTCCAATAATGGATGAAGCCATTTAGAACGCAGACTGACAATAGATGTCTGAATTTGCTAACATTATTAAAAACATTTTTAATGAAATCGAAAAGGAGGAAGATAACATGGCGCAAAATCTGAATCATGAGTTGTCTAAAGGAAACGGAAATCACAATTTGTAGTTAAAAAATGATATATACCACAARGAATGACTAAACATTTGTTGCCAGSGGCAAYCTTAGCTTTATTGAAGTATTTCAGAGAAAAATATGTTTTTACAAATTTGGATTGAAAGTGATGCAGTGTTATTAAAATATTTCCCGATTTCTATAATTTTGCTAGGTTCATATATTCATAATTAGTGATATTATTACAGCGTTCATTTAACATAAATTATACCATRTGTACTGATTGATCTTTTGGAATTACTCTACGATGCCGTACATTAYGAAGCTACATATATTGTTAATGGGCACAAAGGTCGGACCAAACATCGTGAAGATATATTTTTACATATGTGTTTGTTTGTTTAGCAATCTTTGCTTTTAATCCCATTTTCAATATTACATTTTGTTCGACCATTCAATATTGCCAAAGTTTCCAGGGTGACCCCCCATGAGCGTACCGCTAAACTGTTGGGCTGGCATAGGAACTTGGTTTTGAACGAAAGGCAGGCCGGGATGCCTAAACATGTCACCCCAAAATGGCGTAATTACACAAGGTGGTTGCTGGAAGACCGGCTGCCACTGAGTCTGTTGCGCAGGCCATGTGGGATACAGTTTCTGGTTTCGTAAAGARGGAATACTATCTGTGACGTATTGTGGTTTCATTTGAGCTGCGCATGCGTAGTTTGTAGGATCAGCTCGTATATGTGTACCACATGGAGCATTGTTCTGAGTAATCGGAGCGAAATTTGAAGGGAAAACAGATGAGGCAATGAAGTTCATTGCGCATGTGCCTGGCGGCCGATAGGCTGGGGCTGAACAATTTARATTTGACTGATGTTGAACTCCGTAAACACGTGACAATAAAGTATTGTCGATGATTGGTTGAGCTTGTCCACTTGGAATAGCGATTGGTTCACTGATTTCATGCCCAGATGTTAATRTATTGTTGCTGATTGGTTTTGTYATATTACTATTTGCACCTATGACTTCAGACGCAAAAGGTAGGTTTYTATATCTTGCTGMTTCTGCGCACACTCCTTTRCTTATTAACGCTGACTGTTGAGGAAAAGAAGGCGCAGARTGTGCGTTKGCGTAGAGTCTGTTTTGATGATCGCCAATTTTGATAGCATTGTCCAATAAGATTCCAGGATAATTAATCTCACGGTTCAAGTTTGAAGGTAAAGGTGAATGGTTCAGATTGATTKKCCCTACAAAACAAAAACAAACAGCATTCAGTTAAAGGAATTGGGTTTCCCTTGGTAAAAAAATTATCAAAAACAAAAACTGAACTGACTGATGTCGATTCGACTCTCTCATGCTTATATCCCGATTCTTTGAGGGCCGGAGAAGTTCAAGTAACCGGGCCCAAGAATAGATAGACCACCAGTAATATGCTTGCTGCAGTTTCTAGTCTAGTCTCAGGTTTTGACTATTTCTTACATTAGAGAAAATATGAAAAACATATGCACATCAAAGGAAAGAAGAAAGTAGGTGCAACAAGCTGAGAAAGGTTTAAAGAATATACCACGCACCTGTATTGCCATGCAGGCTGTACGTTGAATGCTTGTTAGCCTTTTCAAGAAGATTGTTAGWCATCGTCGATTTATTCATTCCACTTGATATGGCATACATGACAAAGTATTTTCGGAGATTGAACATATAAGAAAGTTAACATTAAAACTAAAAATTGACAGAATTATAAGTTAACTGAAATGACCAACCTGTGAGACACCTTTCTGTTCAAACTATAACGTTTGGATTTCTTCGGTATAGAGAGAGCTGAATGCATATTCAATATTTTCATTTAATTCATTTTGTCTGTTAGTTCGAATGCGGTACACGCTTACGGAACACGCGCCCTTGGCCACGCGCTCGCTAAATCGACGCAAAAATGCTCGCAAAAAACAGTGGATGCAATGCATGCATTAAAAATTACTTTGTGTTTCAATTTTTTTCGTTTGTTTTTTGAAGTCTGCCAGGCTCCTACGAAGTCTGCTTCTCTGTTTAGAAAATGTTGTATTTGGGCTACCTGTAGTATTGCATACCTATTGCGCAATACCCAGAAAACCTTTCACTGCCAAATCCAAAATGGAGRTCGAAGGGGAAAGTACACAAACACAGCAAATGATGTAAGTTTTCGTCCTCAGATTTTCCTTTTGGTTATTGATAACAAGTTGAATATATTTTAAGATATATATTTTCTGTCTAGTGAATTTTTTCGTCAATTTTTTCAGCCTGTGTTGTAACTGTGGTGCTCCGACACCRCCGAACTCGGCAAACATGTGTGTTGGTTGCATACGAACGCAAGTGGATATTACAGAAGGAATCCCTAAACAGAGTTCACTTTACTTTTGTAAAGGATGTGAGCGGTAAGACTTCCTAGTAGTTTGYATGTTATCGTAGCTTTTCTATCGATGTTTGATTGCTAAATATATAAATTTTTCTAGGTCTCTTTAAATGCTGACTCAGTCACGTGTTGCAATATTTCTTTACATTTTATTTATAAATAAAAGATCAGACTTTGATAATAATTATAACAACGATAATAATAGCCATTGATAATAATTTTTGAGTCCTAAATCACCATTAATAGTAACTGGGCTGTAAATATATCTATCCTAGCTACCTCCAGCCACCATCAACATGGACAAGTTGTGCTCTAGAGTCTAGAGAACTGCTTGCTATCTGCTTGAAGAAATTAAAAGGTCTTAACAAGGTATGGCTTGTAGTATTAAGGTTATAATGGCATGAATAATTTACCAAATCTTATGTTTTTTAGGTRCGCTTGGTTGATGCAGGCTTCGTCTGGACTGAACCACATTCTAAACGAATCAAAGTCAAGCTTACTATYCAGAAAGAGGTAAAAACWTCTTGTGTTAAACTTAAAAACACCTTTTGTATGGAAAAATSTATTTTTTTCRAACTAACATCAGAGCAAACACATGCCCTTAGAATTGTYACCAAATTAAAATTTTCAAATTTCAGGTAATGAACTCAACCATTTTACAGCAAGTGTTTGTGGTGGAATATGTTGTCCAGTCACAGTTGTGTGATGCTTGCCACAGAAGAGCAGCCCAAGACTTTTGGAAAGCCACAGTACAAGTCAGACAAAAAGTATGTCTCATAGAATGAATGATCAGTGTTCTGGAAGGCATGATCATACCTTGATAGCACTTTTTAATTAACTGAGTGTACTGTTTGTTATTGCAGACAAGTCACAAAAAGACTTTCTTTTATCTGGAACAGCTGATTATAAAACACAACATTCATGAGAAAGCTGTCAAAGTCAAGCAAGAATCAGGTAAAAACATCTACAATGCAGCASCATCCSCCAGAGSCAATGCTTGCTGACTMTGACATTTTTTTRTTGGGAGAAAAGGCTAGTACCTATTCATTCCAGTCCTYACAACAAAGCAAACACTTGCCATCTTATATGTCTGGATGAGACAGTCCATTTTTTTCAGTAGAATTTGTTTTATATTTMCAGATGGAGTTGATTTCTTTTATGCCTCTAAACAAGATGCAAGAAAGTTTGTGGAGTTTTTACAATCTGTGGTTCCATGTCGGTAAGTGATATACATTTATTAGATAATATTGATAATAATTTTAATTAAAATAGTTAATTGAGTATATTCTGTTTCTATTTATCATTTGTAGGTACAAGACGTCAGAAAARCTTATATCTCATGACATTCATAATAATACTTACAATTACAAGTACACATTCTCTGTGGAAATTGCATCRGTTTGTAGGGTAAGTCACCAACCAATCACATCACTCTATCCAGGCATTTTATCAATGTCTCATTAACTTGACTGCCTGACCAAAGCAGCCTTGAAATGGACTTATAACATTCMTTCCTTTTTTATATCAGGAAGAGATTGTTTGCTTGCCATTAAAGCTTGCAAGATCTTTGGGAAATATTAGGTAAGATGATCAGGAGGCATTTCTCTCTTCTTCAGATGTAAAATCATGCTTTTGTTATGATAATTTTTTGCAATTTTTTGCACTGGCAAACATCTTAAAGTTTATCTGAATCTTTGTGCTTTGTATTGCAGTCAGTTGTTGATATGCAACAGAATAACRACATCACTACAGCTACTTGACCCTACAACATTACAGAGTAAGTTTCAAAAGATGGGATTCCTGTGTACAAATACAAAGGGAGCCCATGCACAATATTATGTTACTTATACAATATTTGTTTAGTGGCAGAACTATCGGCAAATTCTTACTGGAGGACTCCATTCAAGAGYCTTGGTAGTTACAAAAGTTTGTCAGAATACATGGTTTTACAGGTTGAACCTGTTGATGCGAAACATCGGCACTCGTCAATGTCAAACCTAAGCACAAAGGTTTCTATTCCAAAATATTATTATTTAAAAGATTTAGTGAAATGTTAAAGCTATCTATCTATCTATTAAAGCTATCTATCTAGCTATCTATCTATAAGAGCAAAATAAAGAATGCTGAAACTAAATAGTTCTATATGATAATACATCTGATGTTGTATTGCAGCATGTTTTAGCAGATGTCTGGGTGTCTAGAATGCAGGATCTTGGCTCCAATGATCAGCAATATCACTGTCGTACACATCTTGGTCTCATCTTGAAACCTGGYGACATTGCTTTAGGGTAAGCACGGTTAAAACTGCATGGAGTTTAGGTGTGATATGTGAYRTTGAATGCCATTGTTRTYATCACAATCTAAGTTTTTTGTRTAAAGGACAAATGCATTTTGATTTCTCTGCAGATATGATTTCACAAGTACAAATATCAATGAYGATAATCTGAATAAAATGAGCTCTGACAAGATYCCAGATGTGGTAAGGGGTGTTTTACAATGGGATAGTGCACATTGCTTGTACTACTACTGCCTCAAAAAAATCAATTTTGATAATTACATATCATAACAATAAGTGATGTACTCTATTTCTTGCTGTAGATTTTAGTAAAGAAATGTTTTGGTGACAAGAAAAGAAGACGTAGAGCACGCAACTGGAAGCTAAAAATACTTGACAAAGAATTAGCAAAGGATGTTAACCCAGACAACATGCAACGGTAAACAACTTAATTATGACATTATATACTAATATTTTGTACATATGTAATTACATTACAATTCAACATAGCTACACTAGTATCACATAAATCCTTATTACAATGTAACTGCTAAAATGTTTTTACAGTAATAGGTCTTTATATATTGTATTATTTGCATTCAGAGAATTAACTAATTTAGAAAATGACGTTCTCTAGGGATTATGATGAATTTTTAGCTGACCTTGAAGAAGACCAAGATTACAGGAAGCAAGTCAATATCTATGTTGGTAAGCACACTGACCAACTACTGTCAAAGATAGCCTGTTAGAACTGAACT